GAAGACAACATGACATGTTTCGGGCTGAAGCAAGGGCGCGTTAGCATCGCAGCCGTGGATCTGCATGAAGCAATGCATGATGCACTTACCTCCATGCTATTAAACACTTTACCATTCCAGTCCTTCTGCCATTCCTTGGCCTTCTTCCCGTTGCGAAACTTCATCAAGACCATGTACCGGTTCGCTCGAGCGGTCTTGATCATGCGAAAGTGATTGACATCGTTCATAGTCGATTCACCCACGAATCCCAAAAAGTCGGATGGCGACATATAGGAAGGGACGGCTAGGATGCATAACGTCGTGCAATCCCCATCTGGCATGTGCTCTTCTGGGCGCGGGGGCCTACTGCTGCCGCCCACTTCATCGTACGGTGTCCTCGCCGCAGCCGCAGAACCTTTCAAATACGAGGGGTAGTCCTCTTCTGTCAGGTACGGCGTCTCCTGAGCATCTCGGTATAGATGCACGATTCCCCAAACACTGTCCGAAGTGCTCTGGTCCAGCGGGATGTATTTGCCTTTCGTGCGTAGTCCTCCCAAGATATCCGTGCCGATCCCGGTCGCGATGGGGTTATCCTCTGCATCCTTCCAGCCCGTCCGCTTCGCAGCACTGGTGTCCTGCTCCGATGGAATCATATCAATGCACTCGATGGATACTTTATCAAGCCTGAGATCTCTCTCAAGATCGGATGCGCTTGTGGACGAAGTCGTATAGAGGGGAGGGGTACGGGGGTCTGCGACGTTGGTAGTAGAGTCCGAGCCGTGGGTTTCGGCGAAGTTGTTGGATGAGGGACGTGGGTGTTTCCCATGCGCTTGATGACGAGAGGATCGATGTGCCCACGGTGAGTGTCGGGGGCGCTTCTGGAACGGGAGTAGAGCTTCGCATGCGGAGTCGAAGGATAGCGACGTCGAGTGCTTGTCCACGCCTGGGTATGTGCCGTGGAGGTCAGAGTGCGGGCGAGCAAATAATTCGATCGCAATGTGGTAGAAGTAGGAGGGCATCACGACTGATGCTCACATCTCCAGCGTGTTACACGTCTGCAACTGCTCTCTCAGGTCAGTTTCATGAAATGGAAGCTACTTTCCTGTCCCACGCCGCCTTGGGAGGGTATAGTCACGTGCTATGATACGGGTGGCGAAGACGGTGACTCACATGCGATGTCTATTAGTGACTTGTTAGCTATTGTATAGGCAGATGAAGATGAAGATGAAGCTATTTCAATTTCTATCTAGTTTCGTCTCATACGATCTGTAAGGTGGTGGACGCCGTCCTGAATTGCATGTGGACCACGTCTATGCTAGCGTGACGTCGTACCTCGGGCGGTCCTACTAAAACTACAGGAAACGGTGCAAGCAAGATATCAGGTGGAATATAATTATTGAATTGATTCCTAGGTGAAAGAATGTCGCAAGGCACCATAAAAGATGGTGACCCTAAGGTATGCCCAATTTATCCGTGTCATAAAACCGATGAAACAACCGTCCCAACGCCATGCAGGCCACTCAACCGTAGATGAGCCGTGCTAAAGAAGAAAGATCAAAAGAAAGCATTAGTTTCCACCACGGAGACGGAGCACCAGGTGCAGGGTGCTCTCCTTCTGGATGTTGTAGTCGGAGAGCGTACGTCCATCTTCCAGCTGCTTACCAGCGAAGATGAGACGCTGCTGATCCGGGGGAATACCCTCCTTATCTTGGATCTTGTTCTTGACGTTATCAATGGTATCCGAGCTCTCCACCTCTAGCGTAATCGTCTTGCCGGTGAGTGTCTTCACGAAGATCTGCATACCACCACGGAGACGAAGGACAAGGTGAAGGGTCGATTCCTTCTGAATGTTGTAGTCGGACAAGGTACGGCCATCCTCCAACTGCTTACCAGCAAAGATCAAACGCTGCTGGTCCGGGGGAATGCCTTCCTTGTCTTGAATCTTAGTCTTAACGTTATCGATGGTGTCGGAAGATTCAACTTCCAATGTGATCGTCTTTCCCGTAAGAGTCTTGACGAAGATCTGCATACCACCACGCAGACGAAGGACGAGGTGAAGAGTGGATTCCTTTTGAATGTTGTAGTCAGACAGGGTACGGCCATCCTCCAGCTGCTTTCCCGCGAAGATGAGACGCTGCTGGTCGGGAGGGATGCCCTCCTTGTCCTGAATCTTGGTCTTCACATTGTCGATAGTGTCAGAAGACTCCACCTCAAGGGTGATGGTCTTTCCGGTCAGGGTCTTGACGACTAAAGTGAGGTCAGTATACGGTCCAAGTTGAAAGTGGCCAACAGGGTGGCAAATAGAGTTCAGGAGAACTTACAGATCTGCATACCACCACGCAGGCGGAGAACGAGGTGGAGAGTAGACTCCTTCTGGATGTTGTAGTCAGACAGGGTACGGCCATCCTCCAGCTGCTTTCCAGCGAAGATCAGACGCTGCTGGTCGGGAGGGATGCCCTCCTTGTCCTGGATCTTGGTCTTAACGTTGTCGATGGTATCGCTCGACTCGACCTCGAGGGTGATGGTCTTGCCGGTGACTAGATGGAAACAAGCAGTCAGATGATGGATTCATGATGCTAAGCTTGAGAGGTGATTAGGTATACTCACGGGTCTTGACGAAGATCTGCATGTTGTAGAAGCGCAGTTAACGGTGGTATGTAATTAGGTGGAGTTGTTGTGGAGAGAATCGCAGACGGCGATGCGCGGAAGGTGAGTGGTAGGATGAAAGGTATGAGGGATGAAGGAGGGTTAGTAGAGAAAGGAAGGAAGAGAAGGCTTAAGTAGTCAGGAGAGGGAGGTGAATGAGGGGAGGCGGAGGCGAAGCGCCTTAGTCAGAGGATCGGTCAGTGAGATAACGTGATGCAAGGGAATGGCTTAGAGGTCAAGTCGCAATAAAGGGAAAAGAGCAGCAGGGACCTTAGCCCGAGCGGTGTTAGCCTGTCAGACGAAGTACCTTTCGGGCGACGCTTCTGGCACCTCCTGGGGGATTCCCTTGCCATCCGGCTATTGCGCCGGAATCCGCCTGGTCTGCGTCATTTTGGTTCTCCAATACGCTTCGTTGCTGGAAGCGCTTGGGAGGGAGAATCTACTAGAAAGGTTCTGGTTGGGTTGACTCAGGCTCCCACGGCAGCCACCGATTATTGGGTTTACAACTACGGGAAAGAGTGGTAACGCATACGAAAATTCTGTCTGCAAAACTTAGCACCACAACCACAGGCAAAGCCTGATCCCATATGGTAGGCACTTGCTGCTGCCATGGGAGGGGAATTGAAGCCAGTTGGTTGCCGGGGCCTGATATCAGTCCGGGGGAAGCGTCTACGAGCGGACAGGACGACTCCGTCCGTACCCGCCACTGACGCCACCAGTCGGTATCTCAGCCCGACCCAATCCAGACCGCAGCCGTGTTCCTGAAATAGAACCCGTTGAAAATCGGACTTTCTGTTGTCTACATATTGTTTGCCTTCTCATTGATAATTCGTATCATCTCAGCAGGTGAACTGGTGGGTGATCAGAGAGGTAATGCGACAACTGGCCTTGCGGCGGCAACAACGGGCGATGACGTGTGAGTTGGGGGCATTCCTTATCGGAGGATGGAGGATGGGGGAAGGGGATCCTCTCCAGCTGTTATCTCGACGGCGCGGCCTCGGGAAGTGGCCTAAGGCCATCAGTAGCGGCTGGAGATGGGTCAGGTGATCGTCGCATCCGGAATGCCCCGCTTTTGGCCCGGCACCCACTGAATCAATCGTATCCATGACTGCATGCATTCCACCCTCAGATACCAGCTCATCGTTTGCATCATCACTATTTACTATCCTCTAACTCACCAGTACTAGTAGTTATGTATCAAATCTCCCTCTCTTGATAACTGTCCCCTTGGCTGCGTCATCATCCATCGTGGTTGAGCATGCGTAGGTGCCAGACAGTCTATTGCATTGGGCGGCTATTGGGAAAGTTTCTCCAATACGAACTAGTGATTCTTCTGTTGTGGAGGGCATGATGACCCAACAATCTACATCTATCGCGTTCAATTCCCTAGCTCGCAGGACAGGCAAGACCTTCCATTCATGGTTACCGTGGCTCGGAACTTTCTTCTGCTCTAGGGTCTAGAGATGGCTTTGGATAAACAAAGAAAGGTGGTAGGTACCATTTCCAATCCCGTTGAGTGATCCGCTCTTCAATCAACAAACCAGTCACAACTCGCCGGCAAGGCGCATGCGGGCAAGCTGCTGTCGGTGTGATTACCGTCCCCACTCAATAGCTAGGCATAATGGGCTTGTTGTGGGTTTAACCATACTCGCTGTAGACGTTGGAGTTGACCAACAAGGTTGCCAAGATGATAAATAGTTGAGGTTTGTAGCAATAGAGATCCTAGATTCAGCACTCTATTCAATCGGCACGGTGGTGACACGGATCGGAAATATGCATGGCAATTGCACCCTAAACTTTGGCGCGACAGTGGACTCTCGCATCAAGACTGAAGGAGAACGCATCAGCTCTATTCAGACCTCACCGAAGATACCTGACAGACTGACAGGCCTCTGATTGTCAAGCTCTCATGCCGGTGAGGGTGGACAGGATCAGCAAGAGTCTGAAGCAAAAAACCGGAACCGTCATAGGAGACCGGCGCTCTACCATTGAGCCAATAGACCAATGGAAACGATCTACATGGGACTCGAACCCACAACCTCCGGTTTTCCAAACTCAACCAATGAGCCAACGGACCGATTTAGGCGGGAGCTTCAAAAAAGTGGTTTATGGGCGGTAACTGGCTGTCTCCGAAGAATGGCAGCTGCCAGCGGGTCTCACCGACCAGATATTTGATGTTTGTTTACATCTCCAATGCGGTAGATATAGATGAGTTGATTGTACGCATGTTGCCTACACTTCTGATTACCTATATAAAGACAGAACACTTAGAAATGCATGTCCGTCGTCGCTGCTCAACATCCCTGCAAGGGGCATGCTGAAGTTTGATAGATCGATCGTAGCGGAACTCACCCCTCATCTCCATCATTCACTCACCATTAGATCATTTATTTGTCTGAACCTCTGTTTCGATCGCTCTCGTTGCACCCTCTGATAAGGCTGCAGATCAGGTGCTTATAGTTTCCTAGCTTGGTTCACTCAAGTACTCACTTGGTGCATCAGTGGTTCTTGGTCCCTGCCCCTCCACCCTTGAGGCAACATTGTTCGCTCCTCTACAGCCCACAATGTACGACTGTGAAACGTGCCCCCGCTACTTTAACAGCTGGTATGCCTGTCGCCAGCATATGAACGACACGCGCCATTGGGGCGTGCGATACGAATGCGAAACGTGTGATGACCAATTCTTGACTCAATGGGAAGTGGAGGAACATATGGATGACTATAAACACCACGCTCCCAAGATCCCTTGCGAGACATGCGGAAGGAAGTTCTACAACCAGACGTCAGCGGATCAGCACATGAATGCAATGGGCCATTGGGCTCCAACATGGCCATGTGAAACTTGCACACAAATGTTCCATACGGAAGGTGCTGCTGAACAGCATATGCGGGCCAAGTCCCATTACAAAAACTACTGCCACCCCTGTAACCGGCGTTTCGATACTGCGAACAACCTCAAGATGGTAAGGCCTTCTATATCTTCCAACATTGTAATTGAACTCAGACTTCGCTTGTAGCACCTGAATTCGAAGATTCACCGCGGTCAAGACGTCCTCTGTCCTTTCTGCAACGCCGCTTTTACTACGGCCACTGGTGCTGCCCACCACCTTGAAACCGGCTCCTGCAAGCGTGCTGTAGGCCTCAATCGCGAGACTATCTACAAATTTGTTCGCAGCCGTGACACCCAGGGCGTCATTACAAGGAAGCTGCTTGAATGGAACGAGGGTGACAACATTCAATACAAGGCGAATTCCCGTGCATACAACGGTGATTACTGGGAGTGCTACTTGTGTCATCGGGAATTCAACACTTTGAACGCACTCAATCAACACCTCAATTCGCCTGTGCACAAGCAGAAGCTGTATCATTGTCCGAACGCGAAGTGTAGGAAGCAGTTCATTACCATAGCTGCTCTGTTCAACCACCTTGAGAGTGAATCCTGCGCTTTTATGCGGTTTGAGAAGGTACAGCGGCAGGTTCAGGATGTGTTTCGTGGCGGGAGAGCTATTGCATTCTGAGAACAGCATAACACTATAAGCCCTAGCCCCCAAAGCTGAACATGCACTTCGAATTGATGTCTGCTAATATGGTCTAAATTTCAAGTGTTGGTGCTCCACAAGTTGACTTCAGATGCTGTCATAAGCCAGCTACGCAGGGCGTGTGGGCACAACCTTGCTACGAAACTCCTTCATTGAGGCCATTCCTGACGTCTATCTAATATTGTGCATCTAATGCGGTCTGCTATTCTATCCTCAACCGCGGGCGGCTATTACGATCTCATGTTATGAATTCGCCCGAGCATTGTTATCAACAAATTGACAATATTCTGATCAAGTACTTGTGATTTAGCTATGATGTCTTGCTTGCCACTTTGATGTTCTTACCAGTTTAGTATCTCGAAATTGAAGAACCTGTCAACTACTTCTCTCAAATCACTAAATAGGCCCTGTTCTACCCCATGGAAAAATGCCCACCAATATTCTCAAGCAATGTAAATACACAGAATAGATCAGCAGACCGGCAGGTCTAATACAACCATCCACATAAACCATACTAGTATCACATTCACTAGCCAACGATAATATAGAAGGCTGGATATAGATAGAAACAGTTGTAAAATTCAAAAACAACACAACACCATAAAGAACTCACCTATGATATAACTTGCTACTCCAGTATAACAGTACATTATACCATCAAGGACTTGAACCTCTCATCCCATCCCAACTGAAAGAAAGACAATGAAAGAGGGAATACATATATGAAAAATTTTCATCTTCACGTACTTCATTACATACTCGAGGTATGCATACCAAATACCACTCATGCACTACCTGAAGCATTCGATATTTATCAGTTGCCTTGGAAGCTCAATGCTCAGTATTAGGATCTTAGCCGGGACAGCAAGGAGCTAGTAAACTAACAAAGAACTAGGGAATATACTATATACTATTTCTCCGTATGCAAATCCTTCTGCTTTGAATAGACAGACAGATAGATACATAGTAACACTGAAGTAGTACTATGCTTTTGACATCAGACTGATCAGTCATCGCTGAGTTAGATAAGATGAGAGCAAGTAATGTAGAATTGACAACTTGTTTGCTGGAAAAAGTGACAGATGAGAAGTGACAGATGAGTTATGAGACCTTTTTTTTCTTCTATGTTTCTTTGATGTAGACGCACTATAAATGTAGACAGATGAATATACTTGTTGCTTGGATAATCGTTTTGTGGATATTGAATGAAGGAAAAGAAAGAAAGAAAGAAAGAAAGAAAGAAAGAAAGATGGTCTTATGTTTGTGTCTGATTTAAGTGGGAAGTATGCATATGGCGCGTACATATTGAGTAGGCAGTAAGGTAAGGACTATGCGATTCCCACAGGAGTGATGATGATGATGGAGATGATGATTATGTACTTCTAATATAGATAGGGCTAAACACTTCCTATTGATCTATGCATTGCTGGGTGTTTTATCGGTTGTGAATAATATGATGCTGATATCATGACAATCTATGATTCCCCTAATTTGGGGAGGAACTGGGTGTGGTTTTGGTTGAGAGGATTATGTAGTAGTATTTCCTGTGCCGACTTGATCTTAAGCTCAGTCAATAGGTCTACATATTATCTGGAAGCTGCTTGTTATTACCATGAGAGAAGGAAAAATAACATCAAAATATCATTCCACTGTTGAAGCAGTCAAAAACTTCTTTCTGCCTCTGATCTCTCATGTTTATTCTTGATGGATGTAAGGAATGCTCGGTATCTGGGGTCATCTATATATACATATAGATGCTACGTTCTGACCATTCTACTATTGATACTTAGTTGATAGGTTACCAGAAAACAATGATGGGATGCGAAGTCCACTCATAACCATATGTCTATGACTTCATTGTCATTCGTTGTCATTTATATCAAGATAATAGGTATAACAAGGTTTAGTTTTAAGACACTATACAGTTAGAGCTGGAGGTACGATACGATGGGAAATATCCTGACAAGATCCAGTTTACATACGCATTTCTTTGTCTATCTATAAGTTACTCCATGTTATAAACACGTTAGTACTAACAGTTAGCATCAACCCGTCACTTTCCCCACTGCCATACAATTCTTGGTTATTTACCATCGGGATTTACTTCGTCTCTCGGGTTTTGCTGGTAAATTAAGTTATTCAATGTTACCACCATCCTTCTCTCCAGTTGGGGGTCACATATAGTTTCAACACATATAGTTCAAATCAAGGCACACGGTACTTTCAACTCGGCAAAGTACTTCCCGCTAGGCAAGCCAAGCGCCGCACAGGCTGAATTCTATCTTCAGCCAAGCCTTAACTGGCAGGTATTAGGATCAAAAACCACGTAGGTTGTTTCGCCACTGGCGTCGGTCTCGGGGGAGTTAGGCGAGGTAGATCTGAAACGCAGAAATTAAACAAGATCATCATTGTGGCTATCTACTTAGTTTTGTTAGATGCAGCAGTAGTAGTTGTCTGGTTTAGTTCGCCCGGAGAAACGTTCCAGCGAATGGTTGTGGTTCGTGATGTGGGAGTTCCCTTACTATGGTACTTAGCTCTGACGGGACAAGTAAGGGAGGAATAGTATATGCTCTGGGCCCATAAGCTGCTGGGTTCGTGCTCATGTGACTATTTTGTGAAATCTGAGTATTGGTTGGGTGTTGAAGTAGGGATTGAGATCAGACCATAGGCGCCAACGTAGATACCCCCATACTGGGGTGGCATCGAGAAGGGGCATACTACTAGTAGTCGGTGAACTATATTACTGTTATAGTGATTGGTCGAGGATATACCTACCATGTTCGGATCACACAATACTGTCACCTAGTCCCTATGGGCTGGGTGGCTGATAAGTGGATGGCTCTAGCCTCCCCTTTGCCCGAAGAGGACGTTGTACTGTCAGACTAAAGTAGGACACTACTATAGCAGATACTCCATAGGGGCTGCAGTGGAGGGAGGGGTCCCAATTGAGGACAGACTGACGGAAAAATAATGGGACAACAAAAATTATCCCCTCATGCAAGCTGATGTCATGGCTCGTGAGACACCCCCCGGCTAGTGCAGTGCATGCTGTATGACGGATGTATACTGATCACACGCGGGTGAGATTTCATCTGATTTGAAAGAGGGCAGATGATGGTCTGTATGCCTGATGTCAAGGATTCAGCTGAAGGGAAAGCAAATTGCTGGCATCTGTGCAAGTGATGCTGTGATGATGGGTAAAGTATGATTTGTCAGTCTGAAGAACGGCTTTCATGCCTGATACAAAATCCATGGCCATGAATGAAGATGATGACCGAGACGGACGACCGGCCCACTCCGAGAAGGATTCCTTCGAGAAGCAGCGTTGGGTTTTCACACACGGTACATCGAACAAGGGTGGTCGGGAGTATGATAGGCTGTTCAGATTGGAGCCCCAGAAGTTCCTAATTGAAGTGGCAGTGGATCGACCAGCGGGAGGCAGACGGCGAGAATTGCCCGGAACATGGATTGGCGTTGAGAGCCCGAGACAGGGGAACCTCGAGTCGCTTCCCGGGCATGACTCGCCCTATCGATCGCGTGGGTGAGTCCGTACTAGAGAGTATACAGAGGAGCCCCTAGTTAGTACGTAGTGTCACTTTTGCTGGATACCTCCGCGGACAGTCTGTTCTGGAGATAAGCGCCGACGGGGGAAGGGGAATTAGAATTAATTTACAATCCCACACGAATGGGGAGTTACACAATGCTGTAGTGACTGTGAGCCTTGGGGTGAAAAGTAGCAAAATAGGGAAGGAGCGACTTGCGGCCGAAGTGTCTGGAAGGCGGTCCAAGCTTAGTTTGGTTCGCTTGGCAATAGCCCCGCCAACGTCAGCGGCGCTTTTGATTGGCAGCAGTTCTGCCCCTCTATGATGTCAGTTTTTAGGTATCGAGCACTCTGATAGGCTCACTCTCCCCAGCCAGACCCAAAGAGAACCTTTCCTCGACTGTTCGTTGAATCGCCTCGCCTCGCAAATTCAAAGAATCAGAATCTGCGATGACGATGTGTCTGTAATTAGAATATAGAATATAGATCCATTCCCCAACATGAAGTACTTATATAGAATCATTAGATTGACCACTGCTGTAGCAGTTCTCTCGAAATTTGGACCGAGTTTTCTTTTTTTCCTTTTCCCTTCTTTATGCAAAATTCAAACGTCGAATGCCCAATGGGCCCCCTTCCATTCCTCCGCTGGCACCAATTCCTACGGTATGAAACGGATCTCTAGGGGATGTTCTTCTGCTCTACGCTCTCTCCCTTCTCGTCTTAGCTTATAAAAACCCCGGAATGGAAGACGGAAGAAGGATCACAGCGTTGGAAGGACTTCCTTGTCGCCTCGCCCTTGGTTCAATCACCGATTGCCTATGTTTGGTCTTGCAGCGTGTGTACGTCCGGTACAGCTAATTTTGGTTGACCCCTGAAGGGGCCCAGAACCCTCTCTTTTTTCGGGATGTCGTAGCAGGTGAGTGAACAGGGTCCAGATTCGGCTCCGACGCGACAAACCTGGTGACTGGGTTTACGGTCGATTTGTCAACTGAATTCGCAACGTCCCCGGTGAGATTGGTGGACGGCACCGCTGCATGACTGCCTCCAGGCAGAGGACAATCCTTCAGCACGATAATACTGTTATTTCCATCCCGTCTCCGCCCACCAGACGCACCACCCCTCGTTTGCCATTCCGAGGCACGTTGACAATCTAGATAATTCGGTCAACCATGAAAGACATGGTGAAGGAACGAGGTGCCATCCACGCGCGATGTGATGATGCCTGTTGACCGTTCAGAGGCTGGAGGTGGTGCGGTGGTGGGGATCGACGCTCATGGCGGACTGATAAAAATCGGGAGGGCGGACACCCTACGTCAGTTGTGGTCCTATGATCTCAGCGTGCATCATTCAGAGTGGAGGTAGGATTGGCTCCCTTTTGGCCCGAGAATAGGGCGGTCGGTACAAATCCATTCACAGAAGGTTAAGAGGGGAAGTAAGACATCGTGGCAGAACTGGGGTCTGGAATGATTCTGAAAGAAGAGCTGATGACTGGCTGGACACTGAACAAGCACAGGCATTACAATGTTCAACAAATTTGGGATGAAGGGAAGATGGCATTGTGCATAGGTTGGTTTTTGCCCGCTTTTCTTTTTTAACCCTTTTTCCTCTGGTCTCGCCTTCCCCACATGGGACGGGCCAATCAGCGGCCCTCACTTATGTGGGATGTTTGACCTGGATATTTTGAGGCTTTTTCTCCCGGCAAATTCTAGTCTCGAGACGGGGGATCGCGTTCGGTTTGGATCTGGGTGAAGTAGACCTACCTACCTACCTACCTTAAAAGGATGGTGAAAGAGAAAAAAGAAAAGAGGGAGAATCCTTTCCCTTCACAGTGACAAAGATCGCTGTACACCACGCGGTTCAAGTAGGGAACAGATTTGTTGAAAATAAGGATTAACCATCAAAGACGCGCGAGAAGATGACGCCAGAGGATCTCGTCATCGGCTGCTTAAAACGCTGCCAGAGTCCCGCTCTCCTTTTTTTTCACCTCCCCTCTGGAAATTTCTCTTGATCGCGCGTTTTTCTGCTCGTCGGTTGATCATCGTGGTTTACTCTGCAATATTGTTTTTCTTTCCCCACCACCACGACGGTTTGTAAGCTTTCCGAGACCACTCATTGTTTGTCTTGGTCTGTGGCTCCCTTTATTGTCTTTTGCCGTTCATTAGGTGCCTTCTGTATGACTGCTGCAGCCCACCGTGCCGGTGTCCAATGAATTGACCGCTCTGGATGAACATCGGGCCTGTCAGTTGAGGAAGAAGGCGCTGAAGGCTGAAAGTATCGTTGTTTCCCCCTCGGTTTGTCCCATCAAGGGCTGGCCCACCGTATTATTCATTCCCGCAATAGCGCCTAAAATCCTAATCATAATTCTAGCCTGACGGTAACTGAATTGAAAAGGTCACATCATCATCATCATCCTTCACTTTTGGAGGTTACTGGTATGGGACTCTCCCAGGGTATTGGTGGGACACAACTTACTTTTGACTCCTGATAATACAGTCTGATCAGGTCTGTACCTTACCTCTAGTCCGGGTCTTGTTGTGATTCTTTTTGTTTCTTCCCTCTCCCATCGGTTATCCTCCTTCTCCTCCCTCCTCTCCCTATCTGCTGCTCTTGTGTCAGTCAGTCAGTTCTTGTGTCTATCGGCTGCCAGCCCAGCCCACTTGCTCCCCTCCTCTTTTTCGTTCCCCTCCACTTTCTGGTTCCTTTTGACGGCGCGCGCCTAACCAGAAAAAATTAAGCCCAGCGAAAAAATTCGAAAAAGAAAATAATAATAATAAAGAAAGAATTTTTTTTTTCTGAAATAAATAAATCTGAGAGGGAAAAAATAGAAAAAGAGAGAAAAAAAAACAAGCCAAAAGGGAAAGGAGAGCAGAGGTTCACACACACAGAGTGCAACCAACCATCAGCATCGTCATTTCCTTTTACCTCATCCTCCCTCTCTTTTCCCTCTCCTCTCCTCTCCTCTTCTCCTCTCCTCTCCTCCCTCCCACTTTCAAGCTTCGCTTTCCCCCTTCTCTTTCTTCTTCTCTGCCTTCTCTTCTATAATCTTATCCACTTGTCCTAATCGGGAACATTCATCTTTCCCACTCTGCCTCACCTTAACTCGCCTTATCGTCGGGTTCCCGTTAGTCTAAGTTTAATCTGACCATTGCCACCTCCGCGGTTGCTGCCATACTCTTTTTTGATTCATATACCCAAAGGCATAAACCTCAGCTTCTCAAACTGCGGTGGAGGGAACTGGTTCCAGGTGGGCAAAACCCCCCCCTTCTGCTGCTCTGCTTAGCGCCTTTCCCAGCCCATCATTGCTCGGCTGCTCATCCTCTTCCTCCCCCTCGGACAATCACTGCCCCTCCCCCTCGTCCCTCCCGATTCAGACAGCTGTTCCCTTTGCTCGTCCCAAAGGTGGATCCATCCCATCTGGTGTGTGATGGTGGATTGATATCTGTGCTTCCCTTCTACCCGCTGCCTCTCTTTCCACAATCACTTTCTGTTCTTATTCTTCTTCTTCTTCTCCCCTCCCCTCCCAGCCTCACTCATTCCCACTAATACCCCCCCTCCCTCCCCTCCCCATTCCCTTGGTGGCAGGTACATCCTTGTTCAAACATTCCCTCAGCCTCACATAGCTAGATTACCTTGTGTGTTGCTCTTGAACTCTCTCTATCTTCTTTCTTCATTCCCCTCATCGACCCCCTCCTGACTTTTATCATTTCTCTATCTTTCTTACTCACGAGGCAATCATACCAAAAGACGAACTGTTGGCCTCCCCAGTTCTGTGTTCTGTGTGTGTCTGCGTGTTCATTCCCCCTTCTTTCGTTGTATATTTCCTGGTTTTATTCTTTGTCCCTGGGCTGGCTTGCCTGACCCTCGTAATACCCCTATTGCGTAGGGCAACGTCACGATCGATTCGAGCAGCTGTAACGTCGCCGTTCGGTTCGTGTTCCACCGCTGACATGGGATTAGCCTGCAGATTCTTTCCGTGTAATTCTCAGTATTTCCGTGTTTGCTGCTTGCCAGCTTGGGCCCGGAGAACAGCCGGCTAGATTGACCCACAGAGTCCGAACACGCAGCCTGTCAAAAGGACCATTGACTCTTGGTGGTCTCGAGACGTTTGCTCTACGTCGAAACGACATTGATTCTTGACTCAACACACGAGAACCCAGTCTCGTATTATCACATCATCATCATGGCGCCCACCACTACTACAAAGACCGTGGAGGAGCCTGTAGGTGTCGCGAAGCCGCACACTGAAGCCAGGGTTGATGCTGACCTCCCCAAGCCCAAGGAGACTAAGGAAATCCCCTCCACATTGGCGGAGATGAAGGGGAGTATCGATGAGAGCACATTCGAGCAGATTCTGGAGATGGATGACGACGATAGCGACAGAGATTTCAGCAAGGGTATTGTGTTTGGCTTCTTCGATCAGGCTGAGAGCACATTTGTCAAGATGGAGGATGCTTTGTAAGTGATTGCGCTGCTTGCGTTGTGGTAATAGCGCTAATCAAGCCTATAGGAGGCGGGAAGATCTGAGCGACCTGTCTTCTCTGGGACACTACCTGAAAGGTTCATCAGCCACTCTCGGTCTCACCAAGGTCAAGGATGCATGCGAGAAGATTCAACACTACGGAGCCGGCAAGGACGAGACCGGTTCGACGGATGAGCCAGAAAAGAAGACCTCCCTTTCGCGCATTGAGAAGACCCTGACCCAGGTGAAGGAGGATTACAAGGAGGTCGAGGCCTTCCTGCGCAAGTACTATGGCGAAGACGAGGAATCCGCTTAAACTTTAGGACGAACAAAAACAGACGGACAGGGTAGAGTCAGGCGAGATTTCTGTGTCAGTTAACTGAATATACGCGCGAGAGCGAGGCCACACGCTCCGCCCGAGATCAATGAAATCGAGATCACCAAGTGACAGCATCCATCACCACACAGCTATTCCTAGGACTGCGGAAACATGCAGGAAGACAGCGTCGATCCTGCCGCGGGAAAAGATGATTTATTTCTATATTTGCCCCTTGTCTTGGCCCGGGCTTTATTTTCCTAGAAATGTATGAACCATGAACTACAAGGAATATGAAGAACCAGAACAAAAGATGAAAAAGAACAAAAGAAAAGGTAGATGATATGAGACTGGTCGTCCTGCCTTGGTTAGCCTAGGTGCAAGACGATCCTTGGAGGGCGGATGTCGCATGCACATTGCCTTGTGGCATGATCGGGTAGTCGTTGCTAGCCAGGGGGCGGGGAGTGCTTGGACGACCATCGAACTTGAGCATATACCCCTGGTAGCTTCAGCTCAGGAACAACAGATGAAAGGGAGTAGATGGTGGCATCGATCACCTCATCCGACCTCCCTAGAACATAGATATCAGTAGGTGGTAGTTGAGTCGACTTTATCGGGTCAGGTAGCAAGTTCGTGGGCTACCAGACGGGAGTTCTGCCGTGGATTGTCGGACATACTTGAGTATGTACAACCGTTGCCTCACATGCACCTTTACACAAGGACCAGGCTGAGCAACGTTCGGGAGATGAGCTGGAGGTGCCTGTCGTATCCTTGGGATTGTCCCAGCGTCGACCTCCACTCCGGATCACGGCGGCATCCGGATGTCTGCAAACAACAGATCTTCTTCCCTTGAGGAAGGACTCGATGGAGTCGACAAACGATCAACGGAATCGTCTTTATATTCCTCTTCCTCTGGGGGTGAGAGACGAAGTGACGGGTTGTCATTTCGGTCGAAGACAGGACCCTTTTAAACCAGACTGGGGCGTTTGTCCGTCCGTTAGCGGGGGCGTCTGCCAGGGATGGTAGGGTTAGCCACCACCACCAGCAGCTCCTCCAGAAGCTACTGTAGCTACTAGCTAGCTGCCTAGTTCATGGCTCGGAAAAGCCAACACAGACACGACTTGGATTCTGGCGGGATGGGACAGGGTCCGTGGCACGACAGATGGTTGGGAATGATGATGGTGATCATGGGGTTGTGTTGATAGCCCCTACCGTCTGCCATCATGAGAAGGAAAAGGATTCGGAGCATACAGAGGGACTGTTCCATCCAGTTTCTTTCCCTCGACACCCGTACGGTGGGTGCCGGTGTGCTACCATCCATCCATACCAATTGCCAAAGCTGGACGGGAAAGGTGCAGGTTACATTGACAGCCTGTCCTGTCTGCCTACCTGCATTCTGTGCGTGTGTTTGTTCGATTTATATCAAATATCATGACTCAGAGCATACACCCACCGAGTACTCACGAGACCGCGGTCAGACAAACTACGTCTTGTTCCCGTCAGTCGGTCAGTCGTGGGATGATCCGAGAGAGCACGACATATAGAGTACCGTCCCAACAAACGGATAGCTACATGCTACCTATTCACTAGCTGAGTAGGACGACGGGTATCTTTCTTGCCCCTGGCAGTGCAGCGGTGGTATCTGATGATTATAGCAGTGCGATAAGTTGGGTCATATGGGAGATATTGTTCTTATTCTTAGTCTCACAGATTGATTCCGTGACTAGCAGACAACGGCTGTGCTGCAGATGGCTAAGATCTGTAGTATACAAGACAATAGCACCTGGACTTATCACTCTTTCATTTAGAGCTCATCTTTCTTTCCTTTATTACCACATTGTGCAATCATTAATAAAACATGTGCTGATCCGACGGGACAGAAACATATTCTCCTGAGTACAATCAACCATCAATCAACAATCACCCAGGCAAGCAGCACGCAAGCAAGCAAGCAAGCAAGCACTGTCCCCTCGGGAATCCGTGTGACTGCAGACGAAACCGGAATCGCTATCCCTGTTGATACATATACCCTTACAGTCTATCCCTTCCTTATAATTTGAGAGGACATAGTACCTAGTGGCGTAAGATATCACTACATAAATCACATCACCTACACCAAACCATCACTTATACCCTTTCAATCCTACCACCATATCATACCTCCACCCTCACCAAACCCAACCCCCACCCCAAAATCCCCCCAAGAACAAAGAGTGAAAGAGTGAAAGAGAGAGATGTCCGTCTCCCCCCGCGCCAGCAAAGAAGAATTCATGGCTGCATTAGGCCTCTCAACACACGACCCCCAACACGAGCAATACTACCGCGCCATGAGAGTATATCCCCTATCCCCATAACCTCCCTACCTTCCCCAATCCCTCCTCTCCTCAAAACTAAATAAAGTATGTATCTCCAGGACGAAGCAATCTCCACCTACAACCACCTCAACGAATCCCCCAGCAACCTCCTAGATAACTACAAAGCCCTCAAACCGCCATACTTCTGGCACCACATCCGCCCGGAGCGCCAGCGATGGGGGATAAATGAGATAGCGAGGAACGCGAGCCCCCTCACGAGACCGTTGTTTGCCCGGGGGATGACTACGGGCGAGTATGGGCCGAATTGGGTGGCGGGTTGGTTGCTGTATAGTGTTTTTCGGAGTAGGGATGTGAGGAATAATCGGAATAGGAGGAGGGGGAATGGGGTTGTTGGTGGTGGTGGTGGTGTGAAGGGTGGGGAGGACGGTATGTATATTCTTCTATTTCTTTTTTTTTACTTTCTATTCTTTTGAGAGTTGGGGGGGGGTTGTTTGGTTTGATGGTATGTATGTACACTGGCTAACTATGCTGTATGTATGTATGTATAGGTCGGGCGAGTTCTCCTCAGATGGGAGTGAGACATGATGGTGGTGCTTCTGCTGGTACTGCTGCTGGGGGTAGTAGTAGTGCTGCCAGTTCTGGGATTGGTAGTAGTGCCAGCAGTGGAAAGAAGGAGTATTATGATCCTGTTCGAAATGGTTGAGTTAAGTGCAATGCAACGGGCATGAACATGGGGCTGTGTATAGATCAATCTCCATCCTCTTCATCATCACCTCCTTTTCCTCTCTTCCCATTCTTCTGCGTCCTCTCCTGCTTCAACGCCTCCGTCACCCTCTCATCCCTCTCGTCCTTCATCTCATCCCACTCCACATCATACTCCGCCGCAATATTCTTAATCTCCTTGCGCAACGTATTCCCCTCATCAATCAATGACTCCCACAGCTGCAAATCAATCCCCTTCTCCTGATACAGCTTCTTCTGCCGCGCATTGATCGTAAAATCCAACGCCGACCGGTACGATATCTCCCGATTATGGTACAAGAACCACAGATATCCCCCCATCAGCGTCGACAAACTCACCAGATACGTCACCGGCTCCATCGTATCCCATCCCAGATCCGTCTCAAACGTCAACCTATACACCAAGTACCACCACATCGCCAGGATCCCCAGCCCTCCCATCGCCACCCGCTGCGCGCCCCGGTGCGCCAGCGCATCACACTCGTGCTTGATCTCCGCGATGCCCTGGATCCGTCCGGAGATCTTCCGCAGTCGCATCCGCAGGAAATACGTCCGCTCGTCGAACGATGGCACCGCCACATGGATCTGATGTACCCCGGCTGGTGCGCCTTCCACGGAGACGATGAATTCCCGCGCCCGTGCTGCGTCGCGGATGAAATCGCCGATCTCGGTGGACTGGGACCAGCGTACGAAGCGCTGCTCCCTCTTGCCACCTCCACCTTCTGATCCTCCCTCTCCCTTCTTGCTGGGCTCCGTCCGGCGTAGGTACGTGTACGTGTCGTCTTCGGTGGGGGCACGCTTGCCTTCGCCGTCGTCGATGCGGCCCATCTCGTCCAGCTGGTGGACTTCTGCGCCGGTGCCTTCGTAGACGGCTTTTCGGGGTCGGATGGGGTGGTCTTCGATTTGGAGGGCGATGAAGGAGACGGTTGGGGGCCGAGTCTGGCCGTCTTCAGTTGTTATGGCTGGGACTTCGGATTGAATTAGTCGTTCTAAGTGGGAGAGTGGTTGTTGGGGGTGGACGAGAATGGCAATTGGTTCGATGTCTGGGTTGTCAGTATTTCATCCACCACATTAAGTGGATTTAAACAACACACACCTTTATGCTCTCCCTGAATCCCAGTTGATAGCGGAATCAATAACTTGAATAACCTCGACGGCGTGGTTAAGAGCTTTCCTGTAACCAACAGCATTAGCTTCCCTATCATATATTCTCCAAGACAATGAGAGAGGGTATACCCTTCGTCATCGCCTCCTCCAACTTCCCCCCTCCTTCCCTCTGCTCCTCCTGCACACCCCCCGTGCGATCCCGTAATCTCAATCTCTCCAGTTGCTCTTTCGTCCGGGTGTTTCTCATTCCACTGCCGCCAGGGATTCCCGCGCGGAACCACCTGCGGTCCAGTGGCGTGTAGACTGCACCACAGCCAGCACGTAGCATATACGTGCTAGTACCATTATACCCCCCTCTTGTTGTCGCAGCGCCTAGTATAGCAGGGGAAGCACTGCAGGCGTGCCATTGTGTACTAGGCGCAAGTGGAAGCGCAAGCCCGACTCGATGAACTCGACCCAGAATCGACCGCATTGCGGTCACGTCATCGGCTATTGGAAGTGGAAGGTCATATATACAATTTATCCTTTAGGAGATGATGAGTATATATATATCGACTAGATGAGGAGATGAAGACTGCACAGAAATCAGGGGTAAAAGACACCGGTAGAAGCTAATAGCTTTCAATTAAGATTAGTCTAGAATGTAATTGTCAAAGGGGTATAATAAGAATTACAGGTGAAGAAGTGCCTTGGAAGATAGACTTCATAACGTAGTCAGTTAATTGGGTGATGTACGTCATGATGAGTCAGCTGTGATGGTTGCTGTTGTGGAGACGCGTGTCATGTCAATTGTTCGGTTGAGGGAGGCGAAGCAGAGGTTAATTTGTGATGTTAAGGAGGCTATGATGTTGTTGATGATGGTGTTTAGCGTCATTGGGGTGTTGTTGTTGTTGTTCCTGAGGTCAGGGTCAGGAGGGTTAGTGGTGGTGTTTGATTCATGTTGAGGTGGTGGGTGGTCTAGACCGCTACTATGTACCTTTAAGCAGCAGCAGTAATAGTAGGAGTGGTCGGTGATTTCGCCTGCATAAAGTATACAAGTTATCAATTGAGCGCTCATACATCAAACCACCCAAGATAGTGATCGCTGGCCACCCATGCAATCAACCAAATACAACAAACTAAACTATCTGGAGTCAATCTCTGTGTTTCCTTAAAACCAATTCCATCATCCATATCCATATCCATACCATCACCGCTAAAAGCGACACCCAACAAATATCCATGAACAAAGAAAAGCATTTCGATCTATCTGGTATTCAAGTCATGTCGTAAATCGTAGCATCATCATGTATCCCAGTATCCCCTCTGCTTCCATCCCCTCATCCCCCGAAGGAAATCATCTGCTCCAGCTCCTGCTACTGTCCAAAGGCAAGCGCCCTCGTCGGTCTAACACCTCTTCGATCTAATCTTCCTTCACAACTCTCCGGACTGCTCCCACCACTTCTGCTCTCGCCACTAGTCGACATGTCCGTCTCATCTCCATAGCGTCCCTTTCTTCCCGTGCCAATGGCGACCGGAATCCCCTGAATGGGACCGCCCCGGTGTTCATGCCCAGCAGGATACATGCCGTCGTTGACAGAGAAGTTGCGACAAATCAGGTACGCGCGCATCGCTGCATTCTCTTCAGCCAGAGTCTTCGATTCGCAAACGTCCTCCGTCTGGTATTCCCGGTTGTTGACTCGGACGATGCAGGTGTAGCCGCCCCCAACAGCATAGGATTCGTAGGCGGGATCTGCCCAGTGCCGGCGTCGGCAGAGGCCTGTACATCAGGTGTTAGTAACCTGCTGTTGAAGGAAAAATGACGATCGGATCGTGTGTTAACGCTCGGTCGCTCCGAAGGACGCAAATTCCCCGAGCGATCGACAAATCACAGAAGGTGTAGATAAGAAATCGCATCGCCTTGAGTCAGGAACAACCACCACCACCGCCGTCGGCTCGATTCCGGCCATTGTTGCTTTTCCACAACATGCATGCATGCATGGTGTCTGACATCAATCGTGGGCAAAACAGCGAGCATGGCCACTTGGAGGCGTTGGTCTGACCCAATGGCATAATCAAGAGGAAGGGGGAAGAGGGAGTTCGGACGAATGGCAAACGAAATCATCTACATACTTGCGAGGTAGAGAATATAGTACATCGTGAAGACCAGTAAACGGCCAATGGAAGGTATAGCCCTGGACGGTATCGGCCCAGTATTCGTTGCCCCAGCTCAGATCGAGACTGCACCAGATCCTGGGCAGTCACACCAAAAAGGTACAGGCACGAGTCTATGTTGACAGCGATGGTTGGTGCCCAATGATCACTCACTCACTGCCTCTCATATGGCGGGCAATGGTTGCTGCTATTTTTGTGTGGTTCCTTTTCTTACAATGGCCAAAGAGCCCTGTTCACCACAAGCGGGCCGAGACGGTCGACAACACCTAGTATAGTCAATGCAAACAAAGGGTACGAAGGACCGTGAGGGAAGGAACTAGCGGCCGAGGAGAGTCAAGCAGCATGCCTTACACTGGCGGAGGGCAGGAGAGAAAAAAAGAAAAGAGAGGCGAAGAATATCATGCTGGCTCAGGTATAGTCCGCTCAAATAAACAGGGTGGGGCTGGTCGTTGATAATTATTCCAGTCAAAGGGGAGGAAAAGGGTCGAGAGAGACAGCGACAAGAGAGACACTGTAGGAGAAAATAATTACCAAAAAGCAAAAAGAAAAATTAAATAAATAAAATCACCATTTCAATCAAAAGAACGGCTCTCCACCGGCTCTTTCAACCTTCTCCACAGATTGGCCGAGGAGAAAGGCAATAGACGAATACCCTCCTCCCAAAAACGGTTCTAAAGCTCACTAGCTTTGTCCGTCTTGTCGCCTTTCTGCTTGGAGAAAGGAACATGGCAAGTGCGGTCCAAACCCTGATGCGCTGGCATGGCTTTTCACCAGTGGTCCCGCGCAAAAAAGATCCAGGACGTCCTGGCCCATCGGCCACCGTGTAATTCGCCGCCGATCCAGGCGGCTAACATATTGACATGTTGTTCAGGATAAGAGCTTTCCGGGCAAATCGGTCGATTCGGTCTACCATTCTTGCTGCAGAACGTGGGCCGGTTGTTCTGGGCATGCTTAGAAGGCGCCAGTCCGTAGTCAGCGCGGTCTTTTTGTGAATTTTATTTTCCTCCATTTTCCTTGCGCGTCCCCTCCCCTCCCGATCCTTCGGTCTGAGATGGATCCATAAACCCCGCAGTGTGTAGAGGGAACAACGACTGTCGCCCTGTCAAGTAAGTCGCAACGAACGTAATGGAAGCACGGGAGAAAGACTCAAGGAGGGAGGCGTCGTGGAATCCCGCTAATGCACATTGATGATACATAACAAGGGGTTGATGTCGCGCAGATGAATCCTGGCATGGAACCACCAGAGAGAATTGGTTGCTGGCGGACTTCTTTGTACCATGGGCCGATCGTCCCTACTGGAGGGGAAGCAGAATACCACCAATGATGGTAGAAATCCCCGTTGGACTCGACCGTAACTTATTTTTTTTCTCCCCTCTGGTCGGGTCAATGCTGAGACGATCATGACCCTCGACGACTCGGTAAGCCATCCGAATCCGCTTCCCTTAGTTTTAGCAGACCGCTTCCTCGGGTGCCTCCTGAGTAATCCTCATGTTAAATGACCTTGAATCCTTCCAGAGGGCCAAAGACCCAAATGTAGAAAACACCCGAAAAATTAAGGTCCCTAGAGGCCTCTTGCTATCAGACCCCCAATTCACAAATCATCCTGGAATGTATCGGCTGCCGCGTGAAAAATCCGGATAGGCTCCAGACTGGCTGGAGTGGATCAAGCTCAGATTGGTCGAGGCGTTGGATGTTGTTGACAAGCAGGCATCGCGGATGCAATGATGAGTTGGCAATTTCGCTTCGTGCGGCGGGGAATCCATGCCACTTCGACACGAAGTGAGCAAAGGATGAGGAGAATGGAGGAGGGTTAGTTAACCTTGCAGAGTAACCTGAGAGGCTTTCCCTCCCTCTTATTCAGCACCACCCCGGGGAATTTGGTCTTTGGCTCCAATTTGACACCCGTTGGGCCACTGCCTTTTCTTCCCTCATTTGCCTGATTGACGGGTTGCAGCATATTTGCTCAGTGTGTCTGTGCATGGTGTGTAAGTCCGTCCTTTTTCCTGGTGGCCCTCGCGTCGCGATAATGACATGTATCGCTTGGATGTTTGTGGAAGCGAGGGCGGGTCATGGTTTCTTTCCCCTCTATTTCTTAGCCGCCTTGTTCATTTCTTACTTATCGTGGTGGTCATTCTTGGAGGCGCCAGGGATGGGGTCAATTGTGGGAGAACGCTCAGTCAAAACTGTTCTCCTAGTCGGAGCATTGCCAGGACCGTTTCAGCGGGCGTTTCTAGTTTCAGAAAGTCTACTGGAGAAGACCCCAAGTGGCCGAACTCTGAGCAGCTGATGTCGCACCAAACAGTTTAACCCCGGATCTCGTCGCAAGGCAGACGGATTCATTGGTTTGATCATCTTCCATGGTAGCTGCTTCCTGGCTATCTCATCTGTATGACTACCATTCCCTGGGTGCTTTAATTCCTGGCTGGAACCTACTTCCCCTCAGTGCAGAGGCCAGCCAAACTATCTTACATGCGTGTCACAAGCTTATGGACAATTGATTCTTACATGCGTCGTACTGTACAAAATATACTTTTCATTGATATAGTTCCCCTGCTCGATATCGGCACCCGTCCCATCACCACTCGGGCTTGATTGGACGTTGCTCGCACCATACCCGCAGGTTCTCTGCGGCCGCATGGGGTACCACGAAGATCGGGTGGAAGGCCTTCAACCGGTCCTTCTCATCGAATACATTCTGGTCGGAGGATGCGTCATCCGAAGCAGGGATGGGAGTGCATTTCCAGGAATACGCCGAACCGAAGCCTTCATCAGAGCTGATGCTGGAAGTGGTATGGTAATGATGATACTGGGCCGAGCTCAAGCCCGTCAGCGCGTAGCAGGTGTGGTACGAATCCGGATGCCTAGTAGTTATCGTTAGCCTGGCCACATTGTGGAAGGGATCGGAAGGGGAAGGGAGTTGCGTACTTTCCAGGCTTATCACGGAGCCCCCCGTACTTGGACTGGCAACAACCAAGGATATATCTGGTTAACCCTTCACGGCTGTAGAGATTGGCAGGGACCCGCTCCGGACCTGTAGCTGACTGGACCCCATTGAGGGCAGACTGAACTAATGGCCAGCAGGTGCCGACCCAATGGCTGTAGCAGCCATCCACCAGTTTATTGGTTCTCCCCGAAAACCCCCCTTCGGGGGCGTACTGTCGAGCAGAAAGCCAGCTCAGGAGTAAAGGAACATCCATGCACCTGACGTTATCAGCGGAAGCGGGGAGAACATGAGAATGCAGCCTCTTACCTCGACACCACCACTTCTGGTGGGCCCATGAGGCACAGACATGCCAAAGCACAGAAAGTATAGGCGCCATGTGCCTCAGAACCGGGGCTTCCGGAAATGCCGCCTTCGTATGTTTGGCCTGCAGCCAGATCAGTCTAGCCCGCAAGCCTGGGGATGTGGAAGCTCTTACACCTCGACAGATACTCCGAGAGGCCACTGGTAAACGTCTCAAGACCGTGCTGCCGAGCTTCGGCATCAGGGGGTAGTTCCAGTGGCAAATTCAGTAGCGAATGGACCACCATGGCGCAATAGGCGCCTCTGACCAAAATTTAGCAAAAAGCAAAAGGGGCATGCGAAGCAAGCAACGGGAGAAAATACCGCACGTCTTCTTCCCCGCCCGCGCAGACCCTAAAGCCGCCGTCAGGCTGCTTCAAACTCCCTAGCCATCTCCACCTGGTCTAGGTCAGCATGCATTGATACTCAAGTCAGGTACCGCAACTACTCACATCGCCTCCCGATCGATCAGGTTGAATGCCTCTTCGCCTCCGACCATGGCTAAAGCGAGCACTGTGGCATAGCTAGAGGCGCAGTGGGACAGTTGCCCGTGGCCTCCGCCCATGCCCCCTGTAGGATTTTGCATTGGCGTAAACGTGGAAACGACACTAAAGAGAGGACTTAGACAATGGTCGTAGACAGAAAGACAGCAATTGAGAGCCAGAATCACAGCAGCCATGATCAATCTGCAGTTGCCAAGCGCACAGCTCAGTGATTGCTTACCGTTCACGGTATTTGGTGACATCTTCCCCCAGGAGGCTTAATCCAGCCAGCACCCAGTAGACCATCCAAGGCCGGCTTGCATCCATGCCAGCGAAGCCCTCTGGGTAGTCCTCCAAAGAATCGTATAAGTAGATAAGGTGGTCATTCTGATTCAGAGCTGGCACTCCGAATCGGTTGAAAGGACCTGCCTGGCTGTTGTGAATGCCTTTCAAGAAGGGCAAACATTTTGTGACGGTCTCACTTTGGACCTCAGAGGACTCGGTGCACAGGGCATCTAGGAGCGAAGGCAGCTCTTGAAACAAAGCCGGAACTCCGGGATGTGCTTGGGGTTCATACATGCCGCCGCTGCTGTTGCTGCGCTGATCTAGCGAGGTGTGCTTTTTGGATGTAGGCGCCGAGGGCTGACGGCGACCTATTGACGAACTAGTAGATTTGGTGTCTCTACCCTGAGCGTCTGTTGGTCTGGATGTTTGGTTGGATGAGAAACGAACTTTGCGACGCGGCTTCCCTGCGGCAGCGATAACGATCGGCATGGAACTTCCTGGAGTTCGAATATATGGATTCGGGACTACTGTTTATTGGCGCGATCGAGAATGATCGAGATGAGCCTGGGTCCGATTGTTCTCCTCTTCATGAATGGAGATGACAGCTGCCATGGCCGCCCGCAGAATCCATTGTTCTTTCTCTCCCCGCCGCAGTTGCAAGTCAGGTGGGCCCCTCGTCGACTCCTCAGGCCAGAAGGCCCCAGTCGAGTTGGGCGAACAAACCAAGTGCGCAAGATAGATAGTAGAACCTCGGTTCCGCAAAGATAAGGCTGCCATGGGAAGACGGTATAGTTGGCTGATGGGGAATCGTTTCTTTATCCTCAATTTCAACCCAACATCATGTCAAAATCTTACATGGTGGTGTCAACCCCATACTATGTGGTATGTTGGTAATTGGTATGTATTAACCAGCACGTTCCCGAGGCACCACCATCTGCTTCTCTGTTTTTCCTTTTTCTTCGTGACGGATGGATCCCGTGACCCCCTTTGTTCCTTTTTTCGCAGGCAGCCAGCCCATCGCCGATGAGGAATGGATCGCCGCCTTCACTCTCCCACTCGGGCTAGCGGGCATTCCGGTCGGCGGCCGGAAGTCTTAATCCTAGTAGACTAAGATGCAGCTCCTTCAGTCTCCATGACTCGACCATGAGGGGTCAAAGGGTCTCAGGAGAGCTTCTCCTCTCCCTCCAACCTCTTTCCCCCCTATCCTGTCTCTTTGTCTAGACGTTGAATCATTCGGAAAGAAGCTCCAGTGGTTTCCCGACCCTTCCAACCCTGTCCTAGCCGACTCAAGCGACGGGATTGAGCGCGCGCATCAAACCAGGCAGGATTTAAAGTTATTGACGCTGGATTTTAGTCGTCTACAAA